TGGTCACAGATCGGCATATTCAAGTATCCGCGTATATGGCAAATGAAAAACCAGAGGTGGAACACTCATATGATGTCTGGCATGTAGCAAAAGGTATAACATTATAAGTATGGAATGTCTGTATATGATTGGTTTGTGCAAGTAATTCAGCCAATCTTGGCGAATTGCAAAACCAATAATACACATAATACACAACACCACCATGCAAATATGCCATAATTAAATTAGATTATATTCAATAACATTTTTCAATTATATAGCTACTTACAATTATAAGTAATTTTTTCTACGATTATTCTTTTTACCGTTTTGAAGGTGAAAAGAAGAAATTGATAAAGGTTGCAAAGAAGAAGAAATTTCAGAAAATTAAGCCATGGATTGGAGTAAGAAAAATAAAAAATGCCTCTGAATTCGGCAAATGCTGACCTGATTGCCGACCTATTGTCATGTCAGGATGGAAAATATTACCTGCTGCAGACCTGTTTGAATTTCAACTCAGCATGTTTCTGCCGACCTGATATTTTGCTAATTCAGAGACCTACATTAATCACTTATTTTTTAACTTTATACTTGACAGTCAATCATTAATCATATATACTGGATTGCTGACTCGAGTGAAACCGAAGATGAAAAGGAAGAAAAATGGCGCAGCATTCTTAATCACATTGTCGACATTCACGAACATGCTGACCACATCATCTTCGTTGAATGTCTTCATGGCACACTTGAAAGAGAATGGCTTAGAAAAGGTTGTGTAAAATTCAATGAATAGGGCAAGTCAGGCCATGTTTACTTAGCAATTCATCAAATTTAGGTTAATAATGGAGATGTTAAAAAAAACCCTCCCCCCCTGATTACAAAACATGTGACCTATTATCATAACTTTATTATCTACATCTACATTACAGGATCAGCTGCTTACAAAAAGTTAGAAGAGATGCTAACAAGACCCAGACTTATTGCTGCAATCCGTAAGTTATCACAACATCACCAGACATCTGGCTTGGAGGCCAAACATGCTTTGGATAACTTGTTTGCTTCAAAAAATACTTATCACTCTTATCATTCACTGAGTGCAAGGTTAGTTTTTTTAAACTTTGGCCCTCAGTTTTAGGTATTTGCAATGCAGGACATGTAGGTCAAATACTCTTTGTTTGACACTGGTGTGACACAATTCAGTTTGTTCACAGGCCAATTTGCTCATTATTTTCTTATATTGTTGTATTCAGATTGTACTGCTCAAACTTGCACTACAACGAGAATAGCAACAGGAAGCAAGCGACAACTGCTGATGGGAAGTTAAAATGGACAGTATCCTATCCAAAGGCATTCAAAGGGGAGAAGGCAGTTGGCAAGCCATTAAAGGAAAAGCCAACCTATAGTAAGAATTTAATTTTCCCCTAGATTTTACACTAGAAGCAAGTAAATTATTGCTAAATATTTATTATATATTTGTAAGTTCCCCCAACACACCATTACCCATTAATATAAGTTTAAAAAGTTTTAAAATATTTTTCAACAGGATATATACAGTTGATACTAAACAAAGTTATTGAGATAAGATGCCTGTACCCATCACTGAAGAAAGCAGCAGTTTATGCAAATGATGTGCTACCTGCTGAACCACAATCTCTTGTTGAAAAGTACTTGGCAGGAAAGGAGCGACCCTCAAAGGAGGATGTTGTGGCCAGCAGAAAATCACGATTCAGTACACCAGCTTTACCTGTAAGTAGAGAAAGGACATCTGATAGTAAGCCTTGTGCTTGTAAGGGAAAATGTGCTACGAGAAAGTGTGATTGCAGGGCCATGGAAGTGCCCTGTAACAACAAATGTAAATGCAAAGTGGCAAAATGTATAAATCGTGAATGAGAAAAATTTGAGCACTTTCTTATTTAAAAACCATGTAAAATCTGTTCTGCACATCAGGTCTGCACATAACAAGTCAAGTCCCGCAGATGTAAACAGTGCCCAAATTTTTTAATTGAAAGCATGTTTAGCTTATAAGGTGGATATGCTCAAAATTGAAAGCAACTTTATAGATTTATTAACCCATCACACACCAGCACTCTCCCCTTGACAACTAAAATCGTCTCAGTTTCTTTCATTAGTTGTTTCGAATTCTTGTTGTTTCGAATTGCAGCATGATGTGGGATGTAGTGTATATCTTTGCGCTGAGGTTCTTGTGATTGGCTGTTGTCGGCTTCGAGATTCTCAATATCTTTCTCTGGAACTTCTTCGATGACACCAGAAGAAAGCTGTTCCTTTATGATCTGATCATATTCCTTGAGAAGCTCTGGTTTCTTTTGCAACTTGAAATGCATTGATCGTAGTCGGTTTCTGGATAACTCGTTGTTTGGAATGAGTAAGTGTTCACTCTTCCAAGGTAGACTGACTTCGTAACGGTTTCTTTGTCGATAAACATACTTAGAGAACTCTTCACTCTGTACTGGGTCTTCGGATGGATGGATGCCAATTGACTCGGTCTCTTCTTCAATGTGTCGACTATGTTCTTTTCTTCATCATAGGTAGCATAGTTGAATGTCTCGCTCTGTCCGGATATGATCAAGTTTGACTGTATTTCGGTTGGCGCAGCTGAATCATGAAGTGGACCTGAAAGCAGCCATCCAAGTTTGCTACTTACAGCTACTGGACCAGATTCTCCCTTCTGCATTTCTCCAATAACTATTTGCCAATAATAGTCGGAACCAATAAGAACATCTATTGATTCATTTCTATTGTGTTCGAACTCATCAGCTAGTTCAAGACCATCAAGGTGTGGGAAGTCTTCAATGTTGATTCTAGTGGGTAGAGATGAGCAAATTACAGGAAAACTGAGAGCCTTTATTGTTAATTTGCCATGATCTTTGCCTTCGAGATTAAATTCAACCAGGTCACAATTTTGCTTGCGAAATTTGGAATTACCAAACGTATTTAAGTTTAATGTTTCATTCTTCACAGGTTTGAGGTTTGATATTGTTTTGAGGCTGTTGCTGATATATGATCGTTGGCTTCCACTGTCGAAAAGGACTCTTACTTTTGTTGATCTTGATCCATTGGAATTAGTTGCTGTAGTTCTCGCTGTTTGAAGAAGCACTGTTCCCTTGCTTCGCACGTTACTTGTAGTTGTGGTTCCCTTTGATTCCTCTGTTGTTTTGTTGCGGTCGGTCTTGTTGTCAGGGATTGGGTATTTCAAGGTGTTACAAATGGATTGGTGGTGTTTTTGCTTGCAATGTCTACAACCTGATGACCAATTCTAAGACAGTTAAAACATCGATTGGTATTCCGAAGAATATCTTGTCACTTTTCTGGATCAGTAACCTTCGTACAGGATGCGGTACGTTCCTTACAAATAAGCACAGCGAACAGTATAATTCTGGTCGTCTTTCGATAGGAAGGATCCGGCAGTCGGTTTATGTCCCTGCCATTTACTACACTGTTGTCATATGTGTTCATTAGCTTTGATTCTTTCAGACGCCTCTCTCGCTTCTACTTCTTTCTTAATAATATTTAACAGTTCGGCAATTTTCCATACATCTTGTGTTGAGTTTCGTGCAATTTGAAGACGAATTTCATTTGGCAACTTAGACATGATGACAGGGATTAACAAACTGCCATATTGGTCGGCAGAAATACCCAGAGTTGCTAATCCCCTTGCGTGCACGCTTATCTTATTGTAAACTAACCTCAGAGTGTCTAACTTGTCATTTGTACAGCTTGGGATCTTTAACAGTTCGTCCATATGTGCACTCACAATTTGTTGTTGTTTTCCAAAGCGTTCTTCCAATATCTTATTGCAGTCTCATAATTGTCAGTAGTCAAAGTTAGTCCTTGTATTGCTCGAGCTGCTGGGCCTTCGATTTAGTTGAACTTGTCGATGTTGGCAATGTCAGTATTGGTATGTATGGCAGAATTAAACGAGTCCCAAAATGTATTCCATTTGGTCACTTCGCCATTAAACCGAGGCAACGTGATCTTTGGCAGCCTTGGCTTAGTTGCAGAATTCGAATGTTGCTGATTAACTTGTGTAGACCCCTGTGTAGATTGTAAATTCATAGAATATGTTGTTCCACATTTGTGTTTGGCAGTTGAACTGTTGCTGTAGATTCTTGTTGTTGCCCTTCGACTGTTGGAATCATGTCGTTAATTACGTGTTGGTTTTTGCTACTTCCGGTTGGTTGAGTTTCGCTACTTCCGGTCGATTGAGTTTCGATGTTGTTAATTTTACTATGAACTTTGTCGCCATTTTTTAAGATAGTCTCTATTTTCTTTCGTTTAGATAGGATTCGGTCGTTTATTTCTTCTGATTCCTCGATTTCATGTGTTATTTCTTCGACATTGCAAAGTAATAAGATGCTTTCGTTTAATTCGTTGAGTAATTTTAGTTTATCTTGTAAGTGTTGATCTATGACTTGAATTCTTTCGTAATCGTAGCTTTCTGCTTCACAAATTTCATCAATTTCTTTAACTAATCGTATCACGAATGCTCGATAACCCTGTCGTCTCATTTGTAATCGTTTAAGTTTCAATTTCTCTTCGGTTTCTTTTGACATCGTTGAAAATCGTTGTTACTATTGATCAATATAACTCTCGTTGTATAAACAAATGCTTCTCGTCTGTCGATAATTTGCGTTCCAATCGTGTTTATTCCTCGGCTTTAATCGTTGTTTTAATCGTTAAACTGAACGGGCTTTTTCACGTTGGGCGCCATGTATTGAATATCGTATTTATTTCTATAATTTCTTGAACGTTTGGCATAAAATATTAATGTAAAACTCTATACAAAAAACTATAAATCGTATCGTGTTCGAGCTTGTGAGTCGTATCGTCTATGTCTCTATAGCTACAGTTCTGCTATTGGTTGGCATAAATTAAGTCAACATAAATTAAATTAAATTTAAATGTTTATCACAGTGAACATTTACTTAACTTCCTTTGTGCTGCTGTTTCAAGATGATTTACAGTGAATATTTACTTAACATCCTTCATGCTTTTTTTTCTGTGCTGGTGTTGTGTACTCAGGTGAATAATATGTTTGTGATGTTACTCTGAGTGCATATCCACACTGGGCGAGCTTGAAAAATATGCCCGGCCACGGTGGGATTCGAACCTACGACCTTTGGAATACTAGCCCAATGCTCTTCCAACTGAGCTACGCGGTCAGGACGGTTCGAGTAAGTGATATTTCGGAACAATATCTAGTTCCTTCAATACCAATGTGTTCTTGTAATATGAATTTTTTTTTTTTTTTCTGTGCTGGTGTTGTGTACTCAGGTGAATAATAATATGTTTGTGATGTTACTCTGAGTGCATATCCACACCGGGCGAGCTTGAAAAATATGCCCGGCCACGGTGGGATTCGAACCTATGACCTTTGGAATACTAGCCCAATGCTCTTCCAACTGAGCTACGCGGTTCATATTACAAGAACACATTGGTATTGAAGGAACTAGATATTGTTCCGAAATATCACTTACTCGAACCGTCCTGACCGCGTAGCTCAGTTGGAAGAGCATTGGGCTAGTATTCCAAAGGTCGTAGGTTCGAATCCCACCGTGGCCGGGCATATTTTTCAAGCTCGCCCGGTGTGGATATGCACTCAGAGTGAACATTTACTTAACTTCCTTTTTGCTGCTGTTTCAAGATGATTTACAGTGAACATTTACTTAACTTCCTTCATGCTGCTGTTTTAAGATGATCTACGGTGAACATTTACTTAATTTCCTTCGTGGTGCTGTTTCAAAATGATTTACAGTGAACATTTACTTAACTTCCTTCGTGCTGCTGTTTCAAGATGATTTACAGTGAACATTTACTTAACTTCCTTCGTGCTGCTGTTTCAAGATGATTTACATTGATCATTTACTTAACTTCCTTTTTGCTGCTGTTTCAAGACGATCTACGGTGAACATTTACTTAACTTCCTTCGTGATGTTTCAAGACGATTTACAGTGAACATTTACTTAACTTCCTTCGTGCTGTTTCAAGATGATTTACATCGAACATTTACTTAACTTCCTTTTTGCGGCTGTTTCAAGATGATATACAGTTGAACATTTACTTAACTTCCTTTTTGCGGCTGTTTCAAGATGATTTACAGTGAACACTTCCTTTGTGCTGCTGTTTCAAGATGATCTACAGTGAACACTTCTTTGTTGCTGCTGTTTCAAGATGATTTACAGTGAACATTTACTTAACTTCCTTCATAGTGCTGTTTCAAGATGATTTACAGTTAACATTTACTTAACTTCCTTTTTGCTGCTGTTTCAAGATGATTTACAGTGAACATTTACTTAACTTCCTTCGTGCTGCTGTTTCAAGATGATGATATACAGTGAACATTTACTTAACTTCCTTTTTGCGGCTGTTTGAAGATGATTTACAGTGAATATTTACTTAACTTCCTTCATGCTGCTGTTTTAAGATGATCTACAGTGAATATTTACTTAACTTCCTTTTTGCTGCTGTTTCAAGATGATTTACATTGATCATTTACTTAACTTCCTTTTTGCTGCTGTTTCAAGATGATTTACAGTTAACATTTACTTAACTTCCTTTGTACTGCTGTTTCAAGATGATATACAGTGAACATTTGCTTAACTTCCTTTTTGCTGCTGTTTCAAGATGATTTACAGTGAACATTTACTTAACTTCCTTCGTGCTGCTGTTTCAAGATGATATACAGTGAACATTTACTTAACTTCCTTTTTGCGGCTGTTTCAAGATGATTTACAGTGACTATTTACTTAACTTCCTTCATGCTACTGTTTTAAGATGATCTGCGGTGAATATTTACTTAACTTCCTTTTTGCTGCTGTTTTAAGATGATCTGCGGTGAACATTTACTTAACTTCCTTCACGCTGCTGTTTTAAGATGATCTACGGTGAACATTTACTTAACTTCCTTCATGGTGCTGTTTCAAGATGATTTACAGTGAACATTTACTTAACTTCCTTCATGCTGCTGTTTCAAGATGATTTACAGTGAACATTTACTTAACTTCCTTCGTGCTGCTGTTTCAAGATGATTTACAGTGAACATTTACTTAACTTCCTTCGTGCTGCTGTTTCAAGATGATTTACAGTGAACATTTACTTAACTTCCTTCGTGCTGCTGTTTCAAGATGATTTACATTGATCATTTACTTAACTTCATTTTTGCTGCTGTTTCAAGATGATCTACGGTGAACATTTACTTAACTTCCTTCGTGCTGCTGTTTCAAGATGATTTACATTGAACATTTACTTAACTTCCTTTTTGCGGCTGTTTCAAGATGATATACAGTGAACATTTACTTAACTTCCTTTTTGCGGCTGTTTCAAGATGATTTACAGTGAACACTTCCTTTGTGCTGCTGTTTCAAGATGATCTACAGTGAACACTTCTTTGTTGCTGCTGTTTCAAGATGATTTACGGTGAACATTTACTTAACTTCCTTTGCTGTTTCAAGATGATTTACAGTTAACATTTACTTAACTTCCTTTGCTGTTTCAAGATGATTTACAGTGAACATTTACTTAACTTCCTTTGTGCTGCTGTTTCAAGATGATATACAGTGAACATTTACTTAACTTCCTTCGTGCTGCTGTTTCAAGATGATATACAGTGAACATTTACTTAACTTCCTTTTTGCGGCTGTTTGAAGATGATTTACAGTGAATATTTACTTAACTTCCTTCATGCTGCTGTTTTAAGATGATCGTGAATATTTACTTAACTTCCTTTTTGCTGCTGTTTCAAGATGATTTACATTGATCATTTACTTAACTTCCTTTTTGCTGCTGTTTCAAGATGATTTACAGTTAACATTTACTTAACTTCCTTTGTGCTGCTGTTTCAAGATGATATACAGTGAACATTTGCTTAACTTCCTTTTTGCTGCTGTTTCAAGATGATTTACAGTGAACATTTACTTAACTTCCTTCGTGCTGCTGTTTCAAGATGATATACAGTGAACATTTACTTAACTTCCTTTTTGCGGCTGTTTCAAGATGATTTACAGTGAATATTTACTTAACTTCCTTCATGCTACTGTTTTAAGATGATCTTGCGGTGAATATTTACTTAACTTCCTTTTTGCTGCTGTTTCAAGATGATTCTGCGGTGAATATTTACTTAACTTCCTTCTTGCTGCTGTTTTAAGATGATCTACAGTGAACATTTACTTAACTTCCTTCATGGTGCTGTTTCAAGATGATTTACAGTGAACATTTACTTAACTACCCCTTCGTGCTGCTGTTTCAAGATGATCTACGGTGAACATTTACTTAATTTCCTTCGTGGTGCTGTTTCAAGATGATTTACAGTGAACATTTACTTAACTTCCTTCGTGCTGCTGTTTCAAGATGATTTACAGTGAACATTTACTTAACTTCCTTCGTGCTGCTGTTTCAAGATGATTTACATTGATCATTTACTTAACTTCCTTCGTGCTGCTGTTTCAAGATGATTTACATTGAACATTTACTTAACTTCCTTCGTGCTGCTGTTTCAAGATGATTTACATTGAACATTTACTTAACTTCCTTTTTGCGGCTGTTTCAAGATGATATACAGTGAACATTTACTTAACTTCCTTTTTGCGGCTCTTTCAAGATGATTTACAGTGAACACTTCCTTTGTGCTGCTGTTTCAAGATGATCTACAGTGAACACTTCTTTGTTGCTGCTGTTTCAAGATGATTTACGGTGAACATTTACTTAACTTCCTTCATAGTGCTGTTTCAAGATGATTTACAGTTAACATTTACTTAACTTCCTTTTTGCTGCTGTTTCAAGATGATTTACAGTGAACATTTACTTAACTTCCTTCGTGCTGCTGTTTCAAGATGATATACAGTGAACATTTACTTAACTTCCTTCGTGCTGCTGTTTCAAGATGATGATATACAGTGAACATTTACTTAACTTCCTTTTTGCGGCTGTTTGAAGATGATTTACAGTGAGTATTTACTTAACTTCCTTCATGCTGCTGTTTTAAGATGATCTGCGGTGAATATTTACTTAACTTCCTTTTTGCTGCTGTTTCAAGATGATTTACATTGATCATTTACTTAACTTCCTTTTTGCTGCTGTTTCAAGATGATTTACAGTTAACATTTACTTAACTTCCTTTGTGCTGCTGTTTCAAGATGATATACAGTGAACATTTGCTTAACTTCCTTTTTGCTGCTGTTTCAAGATGATTTACAGTGAACATTTACTTAACTTCCTTCGTGCTGCTGTTTCAAGATAATATACAGTGAACATTTACTTAACTTCCTTTTTGCTGCTGTTTCAAGATGATATACAGTGAACATTTACTTAACTTCCTTTTTGCGGCTGTTTCAAGATGATTTACATGATCTGCGGTGAATATTTACTTAACTTCCTTTTGCTGCTGTTTCAAGATGATTTACACGTGAACATTTACTCAACTTCCTTCATGCTGCTGTTTTAAGATGATCTACGGTGAACATTTACTTAACTTCCTTCATGGTGCTGTTTCAAGATGATTTACAGTGAACATTTACTTAACTACCCCTTCGTGCTGCTGTTTCAAGATGATCTACAGTGAACATTTACTTAATTTCCTTCGTGGTGCTGTTTCAAGATGATTTACAGTGAACATTTACTTAACTTCCTTTGTGCTGCTGTTTCAAGATGATTTACAGTGAATATTTACTTAACATCCTTTGTGCTGCTGTTTCAAGATGATTTACAGTGAATATTTACTTAACATCCTTCATGCTTTTTTTTCTGTGCTGGTGTTGTGTACTCAGGTGAAT